TGCCCCGGGTGACATCTCCTGGGGCCTTTATGATTCCGTAGATAAGAAGGTTTGATCGCCGGCTCGTCTGATTAAAGACTGGTATGTATAAAAAATCGAGTACCAGATGATGCTATTTTGTGTCGCCGACTACTCCGCTAGACGCAATCAAATCATGACTCAAAAAGACAAACAAACAAACAAACAAAAAAAGAAAAAAGAAAAGACTTTACCGAGTTGAAGAACATTGCTTCCGCGCATAGAAGACATACGGCGAAGGTTCATCAATATGGCGTCCAGCGCGATTTCAAGGCGGAAGTATGTAATACGTAATCTGAAACCGCCCTCGAATCACCCTGCAGTGACGTTTTTTGACCTCAGCACACTCTTGGGCCGTGTTCCACAATTTACTTGATTCTACTCCAGGGTTAGGGTTTTGTACCCTTGGTGTTCTAAAACCTACCCGCATCCAGCGTTTTTCAATCTGTGCTGTCACGTGACACGATCCGCCGGAGTAACTCGGATCCATTTGGGTAAGATTTGGTACACAGCCTTGTTGTGGGATGTACCCATACTAGAATACGAGGAATTCCGTCAATCCTGAATACAGGGTAGTTTTTAATATATCAATGTGTTCGTACCACAGTAAAATGTACCGGCAGAACACAAAAGGTAAAAACATTGCGCAACTATGTTTAAGTTTTTGTTGATGATATCAATGCCGTGTTTCCGTATTTTGTGGCTGGCTAGTTTGGAGTGATAGACTGTATGACGCAAAACGGTTCTGGCATAAATAGGCTGGCTGAAATACCCAGGCTCGATCTAAAATGGGCCGTAAAAATCGGCGCCTGAACGTAGCGATCTAATTTTTTGCCAAAGGTGTATTTCACAGGTACGTTTTGTACCTGTGAAGTAATTCACGTCTTGTAAAATTACAAGACGTAGCTTCCTTTCTGTACAAAGTAAGGCCAAAACGCTTTTCCAGGGTGAACAGCGGACGGCGACGCACACATACGTCGAGTGCTCCGACGCGTTTGGAATTGGCACGCGTATTGATAAAGTTGAGGCTTGGGCGAGTGTATATATACTTCGGAGTTAAAAACACCGCGAAAAGACGAGAACCAGAGAAAGAAGATTTCCCCCCTCTCTCCCCGCCTTGAGCCTGACCTGTAAATTCGCCCGTGGTGGTGTCAGAGTCTTTCATAAGCTAAAAAGAAAACAAAATGGTACCTTTCTGGAAAGGCTGTGGTTAAATGGCGTATTTTTGTGATCGAGGCGTTTATTGGGGGCCTACGTGACCGAAATTCGTAATAATAACAAATTATAATAATAATACAATTAACATATCTTGATACGTAGTTTAACGAGCTCTAATATACTTTTATTGCCTATGATCTAATTTCAAACGCGCAAACAAGTGTGATGATTAAAAAAAAAAAAATGCCCCCCCCCCGCCCCTAAAAAAAAAAAAAAAATTAGGTTATTAGTTTTGTTGTACGTTTAGTTTCTTGCATTTTTACGCTTCGTCGTTCTGCAAATCTCAGCCATTCCAGTTCGAAGAAACGACTACCCTCTTGCACGTCTGCTCATTGCAGCACGTTTCGTTGGCGTTGGAAAACCGGTGAAACAGTAGCGAGTTTTAGTATCGCGCATACGATTGAACACAAGCGCCGTGTGTTCGCGTTAGCGTCGCGTGTTCCACACTGTGCGTGCGCGGAGCCCAAAAATTCCTGTCCCGGACGACACGCATGCCCATCGTGGAGCACGCAACTCTAACGTAAAAGCACAGCGGTTGCGTTTGCTTCTATACGCAATTCTAGAACTCTCTAATAATGTACAATCGCATACCGGCTGTATAGCACTACATTAGGAGAGTGACGAGCGTTGTTTGCATTCGGAAAGCACATTTCGCGAGCTATGATCGCGAGCAGTTCCGTTATGCCCGCCGAGCGGGAGAATTGGGGAACCCCCACTAGAGCGCTTCCCGTTTCCGCCGCGGGAGGGCGAGCAACGAGCTGGGAGACCGAGCTGTACATTGTGCGGGGCAGGCGGCTTCGCGACTTTGTCGTAAAAGCCGGCGTCGGGAACAGGCGTCGGGGCGTGTATACCCGAGACAAGCGTCGCTCACTCATGGTCGCCACCTATTTCAGCGGAGTGTGTGCACACGCCCCGACGCAACTCGAGGAAAAAAGAACTTGGCGGGCGTCTTTTTCTCCGCTCTACGGCGAAGCGTTTTTGGGCGCGCAAAAGAGAAGTGACGCCCGGTCGGAGAATTTGCATGAGCGCGTGCCGCCACCCCCGCATTCCGCAGACGCGGTCCCCGTGCCTCTGTATCGTGTAGTATACACATTGCCGGTTGAGCGTCAGCTCGTCGCATTCCGGGACGGGTGTCGTCCGCGGGCGAGTCTGAGGACACTCGACACTTGGAATGGAGAACTAACACCGCGTCTTTTTTTTTTTGTTTTCCGACTGACGCGCCAGCGCGCCGCGCGTCACCTGTTGTTTGGCGCGGTGCGAACGCGTTCCAGTGCCGCTGAATTGATCCGCTTTTGCTAGGGTGGTCGGGGAATGTTTCGCCCATATTTCTAAAGGTTGTCGGTTTGATGTCCCAAATTTTTATTTTTATTAAATGAGAGGAATATAAGGAAATGTCTTACACCTCGGCGACGTCAACTTATAGGAGGTTCTCACTGACGTGACTTAGTCAAACACTTGTTGTCTCGTATTTATTTATTTATTTATTGAACATACATAGCCTTAGGCCTGAAGGCATCATAGAGTGGGAGAGGGGATGCCTAAAATGGGGAGTACCACTTTAACGAATGAACAATTATAATAATATAAAAAAAAATGAGTGCCGACAACGAGGTTTCAATGTTTCGCGAGACGGCATGCTGCATCTATGTACAACCTTTTCTTTCCGTATCACCCAGATGAAAATCGCCGAGCCAATTGGCTGGGGTCGCATGCACAGCGACTGATATATCCCGCTGGAGAGAGCTACCGCGCAAGCCTCAGAAGGCGTTCCACAGCCCTGTGGACAAAGATTGCGGCGCCCAGTAGACGCTTATTGAAATGGTTTATATAGTAAACTCTCCTCGATGCCTTATCTTACAAGTAAAGACTAGCAAGCATAAATGACGAAGCACATTTTACGAAAACAGCATGGCGTCCTTCACTTCATTGCAGAGTTGTGCGCCGTCGTTTGCTTCCGAAACCATCCACCGCGATGCAGTCGGCGTTTCAAACAATGTCGCTACTCTTAACAAACACGATGTGCGTATTTTGTTTGAGAACTTCCCCTATAGACGTTTTGCAAGTCGAGCCTCGCTAACACGTGCCCAGAGTTGTCAGACTGGCTCCCAAATAAAACCTTTTCCATTCACGGTGACCGGACTAGCTCGTGAAGCGCGGCGGCATGCAAATGTTTCTTGTCAGAGCGTTGCGGGAGCCTTTCTGTTGTGTTGTGAGCACGAAATGGAGGCGGAGTACAGCTCCGCGTGTATTGCCCTCAAAGCTCTCTTCCCGAGTCACGTAACATCCCGAGCGGGACGGCATGCCCAGTCACGACCGCGGAGGGCGGACGGCGACGCCCCGACCATCGTGGACCGAAGAGCTCAATTAACCGAAGGGAGATTCCGCGCACGACCCACCCGCCCATTGCACGCACTGAGTGGAGGAGGCCCTCGCCAAGATGGCCGGCTGCGGGACCTCAGATTCCGAGTCCGGGGTCGGAGAACCTCGGGACCCGGGACACAATTCGTGCCGCGGACGCACGACGGGGAGGGGCTGCAAAAGATAGACGTGAATGTAAATACGACATGTGCTAGCCGGAGAAAGAGGCAGCAGCCGGCCAGTGTGACCCTCCTAGGTCCTCTCACGCACCCACACACTTTTCTGCCCCGCCTTGGCGTCTGTTGTCTGTTTACTCGCGGCTGTATCGTTGTATCAATACTGCTAGATGACAAGGCGTGCTTACCGCTTAAGGCGGGTCGGGGCAAGTCGGGGATCTGCTGACGAGGATATCATTCGCGGGTCTTGTCTTCTTAGGTTGTATTGATTGTGTCGCGACGTATCGATGATTGAGATTCGAAGATGCGCTGGCAGACGAGTCATGGGTCCGTGGAGTGAGAAACAGTGGGGAAGCGATCATGATTGGTTGATGCGCGATGCTAATAATGGCGACTTTGCGCAGTGTCGGCGGTGCGTGGAGTCTATGCCTGACACTCCTGAACTTTCCGTGAGATATGGGTAGGAAATATGCGAGTTTGGATCGAATCGACGTGTGTTCTCTCATAGCTTGCCACCCCATATCTTCTACTTTCGAAGCAATAATACGAATCCCTCGTAAAATTTCGATCGATTTGCTTAAATAATTTTTTTTCTCCATCCCCTAGCCAGGTAGTAAAGGCAAACATCTGAAATCAACTTCTATTTTGCATCCTGCAAAAATACAGACGGTAGGCATGAAGTAAAATCGGCTTCCCTGGGTGAACTTGACAGCTGGTGTTTCCCGGGCGCCAAAATTTCTATTCACGACGAGGCCGACAAGAGTAATAAAATGCGTAGATAGTTTTCACGGCATTGAGTGCAAGTGATTTCTCGTGCCGGGATTGTTGGTTTCCGAATAATCGCAAAAAAAAAAAAAAAGCAAAAACAAAAAACGATTTTAGTGACTTAGTTAGGATGCTTATTATATAGGTATCCACTCACTGCTTACCTGTTCCGAATCTGTTCTGGCAAGATCAAAGGTAAAGCGAAATAAGTAATGAAATAACTCTATGTCTTATCAACAACAGTTTTTTTTCCCGATATTAGTTAAGAAAATAAAACTGCATACTTATATTTTTTAAACCGATATCTAGAACTTTCCCGCATATTCTGTGATTCTGCAGCAATTCTCGATGGCTGTCTCGTGAATGAAAGAAAGCCTTGGCACCTCTGATCATTTTTTCCCCTCTGTGGTGTTGTAATGCAAAAGAGATAATAACCTCGTTGTTTCTTTTTAATTTTCTACGCAGGTTGTTCGGCACGACGGGCCTCTGCTCGGCGTGCAGCAAGGCCATCCCCGCTTTCGAGATGGTCATGAGGGCCAGGGGCAACGTCTACCACCTCGAGTGTTTCGCGTGTCAGCAGTGCAACCACAGGTGCGTACCGCCAGTCTCATCCTGCGAACAAAGGCGGGAAAACTACACTCCTTTCGTGGTTACGTTAGGTCTCCGTGAAAGCGGTCGGCCTAATTGTACGGACACGTTACTTCGTTGGCCCCAGACAGAAAAATTACTCGAAATTACACCTCTGAGAGTCAGGGGAATTATAGCCTTCTCGAAATGCCTTTTTACGATAATAGGTAGTGTACGCTGTCAACCCTTTCTTGGCATTACAGCTTACGAAACTATGGTCAATGACAAGTGAAGAATTGAGAAACTCTTCACACCCCTTTCCACTTTAGCGAAGCGAAAGCTGGAGAAAGGGCGACCTTCTCACCAGCTTTTGCTGTGTTCAAGTGGGAAGGGGCGAGAGAAGCTTCCTTTGAACTCTTAACCTGGCACTGACTATAGAGCGACTTCCGGAAACAGTTTACGTGAAGGCTGGATTGTAGCGTTTTCTTTGTCGGGAAGTCTCGGTAATATAACAATGACACAATGAAACCCATTCATCCTTTATACTCGTACATTTCGTCGAGTAACAGTCGACGTTTATCTTCGTGGTTCGCAGTCATAAAGCGTCTGACAAATCGCTCAGATGCGGAAATGTCACCAATCGAGTTTCTTCTGAGTTGGTAAGGCACGGAATGCTTTTCTTAACAAAACCCTGTATCATAGAAATGTATCTATGCGTTCATCCGTTCATCCGTGCAGTTCCCCGCCAAGTCTAGCCAGGGAAATTCGACCACACGTGACCTTGCGTCACGTAAGCTATACTCGAATTCGATGTCCGCGTTAAATGCAGAGGGAACATTGTAACGTGGCGTATTTACCGATTCAGCTTCAGCGCTAATTTTAATAGTGAAATTTACGTCACTTTACCTAAACAGCAATTAAGTTGCTCCGCTAATTTGAGCAGGGAAACTGAACAAAATAAAGGTTTCTCTACACAACGCATGCAGCTCTTCATTGTTTTCTAAACAAATCAAAACGCTCGTTCATTGTTTTCAAAACAAAGCAAAACGCTCGCTCCTTAGAAACTGCGTTCCATTCATTATAGGACTTCCGAGATAAAGGTCACTGCCAATTTTCTCCGCTTCCGACCTTTGGTGCGAATGTGCAAAACTCACGTTTCCTGTCTACATATTTTCGAGTCACTAACAGGCGGTCCATTCGTTCCCAGGTTCTGCGTGGGCGATCGCTTCTACTTGCATGACAACCGGATCTTGTGCGAGTACGACTACGAGGAACGGGCGTTGATGGCCGGTGTGCCGCCCCCGTTCTACGCGGGCGCCAACCCGCAGGCGGCGACACACCCGGCACCCGTCAAGCGTCAACAGCAACAGCATCAGCAGCAACAGCAGCTTCACCAGCCTCACTTGCAACAGCCGCAGCCGCAACCTCCGCACCAGCCACAGCAGCGGTCCGTGGAAGAGCCTGCCCGCGACGATAGGTCAGACGTACTCAGAGTGCTTTCGAATTCGGCGTATGCCATTGTTACATGGTCACACTTAACTGCAGTTAAGTCACCTTTGAGTGCAGTTACGCGAGGCCACAAGTTACCAGACTACACTTGCGGAGAACGATCTGTGGCCATGTAGTCCAAGCTATTGGCACACGTGTGCTTGAGCGTCCGTCAAAGCGGTGCACGCGCACTTTTCATTTCTGAAATAGCTCTTTGAGAGTGTAGTGTGGTGACTGTGAGGAAGCGTGACTGCAGGATACTTAACTACGGTTAAGGGTTCCCGTGTGAAAAAGCTGTTAGATATGTTTAGCCGAGCGAGCAGCTTCGTTCTTTGTCTCTCCGTTGTGATAACAGATCGTTCGATTGATGCTGTCACTATACAAAAGCTTTCTGCGGCGTTTGTTCTCTGTCAGATCCGCATGATTAACCGGAAATTTACTCGTAAAAGGTCCCACGAGAGTTCACTTTTCTATTTTTTACAACTCTTACAAGTACAGCCTTTGTCTACTCAAATGTTATTGAATGGTATAATTAATATAAGACGAGTAAAATAAATTTTCAGAACAATTGCAATAGATTAAAACTTTACTCAATTAGTCTAAAATTGCTCCTACATCAAGTTTATCAAGCATCCCGATATTCATACTAGTATAATTGGAGGGCTGCAATAAACGCAGTAAAAAACGTTAGTAAAAAAAAAAAATCTTAACACGCTAAGAAATTCGGAGCGCCTATTTCCCCGCAAAGCTTTTGGGAGAGACAATCGCTGCAATTTTACGGATGAGCTAGGCGAATGACGAGGCTTAAAATATGTTTAGACCTAAATAAACAGTCTGCCGTCGTACCACGAGGCAGGGTGGACCGTTATGCTTGGAGCCGAAGCACAGACGTTTGTTGGCTTTAACTGTTTCAGACGTATATGTAATGACATTTGTACATCTAAAACCCTCGCTGTTGTTTCGGAAATATCCTGCATATCGAGTCGTTTTATCAATTTTAGCGGAATCCTGTACTCTATGTCTGAAAATTGAAAGTTTATGTCGAAACTGTCGGTGAAAATTGTCTTCATAAACAAAATGTGTAAAGAACAACTTGTTTTTTTTTTTTTTTCACGATAAACGGCGAGCGGCGTTTGCAAGGGCTAAACATATTTTCAACCTCACCCTTCGCCGAGCTCTCTCCGTCTTTGGCAGCGATTGGCTCTCCCACACGCTTTGCGGAAAAGTAGGCGCTCCAGAATACTAAGAGAGTAGGTTTTGTTTTAAAATGGTTTGCAACAGACTTAGCTGTCCACACCGCCCACCTTTCTTATGGTTTAGCCGTAGAAAGTTAAACCACGATGTTAAACATGCTTTAAATGAGGCAATAATATATTTGCCTATTTGCCGCCCAACTTCAGGACATTCCAAGCACCAAGTGTCAACGTAAAAGTACTCATTTGGCCCACAATCCTAAGCAGTAAACTTTGATGCCGCCATGAACCTTTCCCAGCGCCGATGTCGTGTTCGCGCTAACAGTGTCACGCGGTATCTCCCGAGTAGCTTGGGAAGTCGCACAGAGCGTGCGCAGAACTTCTGCGCATGCGCTGTACAACACCCCTAGTTGCCAGGAGATACCCAAAGCGCCGCCGCCCACTGTTCGAGAACTCTACGATGCCCCTCGAATGTCTGTGGGCTAAGAAACGTTGGTGGCGTGATTTCACCCAATTAACGCAACCGTCGCCGTCTTTTGATACAGGTCGAGCGGCTACGGCAGCGGGGACTCGCCCTACGACGGCCGGTAGCTATGGCGTCCCCCGGCGCCCACGGCGGCCGCTGTCGCCCCACGACCGCTTCTCAGTGGCGCCAGCAAGAGGAGGAAGACCAGGAGGTAGACTGGGCGTTCATCTCGTGCGGCTGCCGGGGAACTGAACTCTGTCTCTCTGCCCGCTCTGCGCGGCCGTAACTCCGGGTGCTGTCTCTCTGTATCACGCTATCTCGCAAGTCGTCGGGCCGAAGGAGCGCCGTCAATTCCGGTGGATAACACGCTGTAGAGGTGTAACCGTACCTTCCTCTCCCGGTGGCCACGCCCTACCCCTTCACCCGAGTGCAGAAAAGTGTCAGAGCTTCATGGACGCTACTGTCGAGACCGGTTATAATGAAGTCAACGAGAATCGGAAATCACTTCGCTATATCCGCTATTTCGTTATAACCGACTTCGTTATACCCGGTCTGGACAGTACAGTCACAGAATGTTTTAGCATGGCGTCTGGGAGCAAACGCGAGCCACGCGGCGCTTGCCCGTTGTCGCCATGCGCCAATCCAAGACCGCGGTCTGAGCTCCGCGCAGGCGCAGTGTGGAGCACGAAACGCTAACGTAAACGGACAGTGCTCACATTCGATCGTGTACGCAATACTAAAGATCACTACCAACAGTTTTAAGAAACGCAGGGCGTCGCGACTGCCTAACATCTAATATTCCCTCCGCAGTCAATGAGCGTGTGGCATTAGCCAATAAAAACGCAACAGAAAGGAACGCAAACCAAGACGCGGGAACAGAGCACGAAGGGACTTGCCACGTTCTGCGTCTCTTAAAGTGTCAGTGGCTATACTTGACTTTGGTTCACATACCCCAAGGTCTGGGATGTTTTAGGCTGCTTTTGCGTATTGTTCTCACGGATGCAGCACTTTCGGGCATTCACAAGAACAGACGGTTTGCAGTTGTTTTAATAATCACGATCCCTGTGATCAGATCATCAGCCAGGTGACACGCTAGAGGGAAGCTCTAATGCAACATCTGACTGATGTCTGTTGACCGACTCAAGCCACAAGGAAAAGAAGATGTGCATGTTCAACAAGATTGATTCACTAATCCGTTTTTTTTTGTTTATTAGTTTGTTTATACGAGGCACTCAGCGTGTTATTCACCCGATTTGACGATGGTAATTCCTTTATCGCGCGCCTGGCGACCGCGGACGTTCGAATCGACTTGACGTGTTTGTAGCGACACGCCCCGCGAGCTCGTCCCTGCGTGGAACTGTGAACGAGTCAAGCGCTGTTGTGTTTCATAGGGCATTCTGTGTTTTTGTTTTGTTCTCGTCACGATACAGAACTGGGGACTTCGCTCACTGTGTCGGTGAGCACGTGTGTGTGTGTGTGTGTTTGTGAGCTGTGTTCGTGAAGTCGGATCCCGTCAGCCATCGCAATCAATCGCAGCATTGGATGTTCACGGCCCCGCACAGCGACAAGGAAGCCAGTGTACGTGTTGTGAGCTGTCACAAGGACGATTTTATTCGCGCACACTGTTTGTGAGCGAGACTGCCCGCTGAGAAGGAAACTGACTTTGCGGGTGTTTTTTGCGTTTGTTTTGGCTTTTCACTCTTACACTTCGAGCACCAAAGAAGTTCCCTCGGCATGTGTATGGTGTACGCGCCAGACCAAAAAATATACTTTAGAAAGTTGAGAACCTGAGACCCCACCGGTCGACTATTCAACCTTCACTGCTGACAAGAAAAAACAAAATCACGAGAATGGCAGTTTCGCCATCTTCAAACAGGCGCCTGTGTTTCTCTATCGAGTGGTGGCGCTGCGTCACTACCCAGGCTGGTTGCCAACAACGTGTTGACAGCATGTTTGTCACACAGAAGGTTGGCAACACGGTGTTTTTTCTTTTTTTTTTGTGCCTGAGGACAGAGTTGATTGTATGTATACGGCTGTGTGACTCGGATATTGACGACACTGCTTCATGCCAAAGAACTTGTAGCGTGAACGACAGAACCTGAAATAAGGAAAGCAAGGAGTTACACTAATAACACTCACACAGTATTTTGCAATTTAAAAACCCCGCGTAACGAGCGAATAACCTAACTTGACCGGGAAACTGTGACAACGTAATTGTGGCCTTATTCAAACCATCAATGATATTGGCGAGCTGATTAGACTCCCGTCTCTCGACTGTTGTAATTTTCATCCCACTGAGAATTTGCAGCAAAATATACGCCGTGCAAACCAAAATCGTGCAACGGGAACGTACAGTACACGCACGTCTAGCGCTTTTAGAGAAATATGTCAATGACTCTGGCAGAAAAGTACACCGCCTACCTCTGTCTAACAAAAACAATAATGACCAAATGAGATGTGCAACCCACGGGTGCGGCAGTATGACCAGGACCAGCGGAGTTGAAGCCGGGACGTCACAAAAGCCATGTTGGGAGCCCCGGGTGTGTTGAACTATTGGAAAACAAATTTAAAATGGACTGCCACGTTTCCTATTGTCGCAATGTGATAGTCAGTTTCGTAGGTTAGCATGCCAAGGGCACCCCGTTCTAAGTTTGACCTCTTTCGGCTAGCACTCGGTTGGGCCAGCTCATACCGCCGCCGGCTGTACATTGATATTTTCATTGTACGGTTAGAGCTGTACTGCAAAATCCCGATAGATCGCCCACCTCATATTTTTCCCATTTAACTCCTTATCGTGGGCGGTTTTTACTAGGGATTTTACTGTAGTCTTGCTCACCCCTTCAACAACTAAAGATGGCTTCCTCAAGCTACTGGGACGCCTCAAAAGTTAGTGTCTTTGTTGATCTTTGGGGAAGTCACCCTGCGTCACATGAATCACGTGCAATAAAAGCGAGAAGCCCGCTGGCTAGTCATGAAGGTTCACTACAGTCCCCGTGGACCAACCACCTATGAGCACCCCCGGACCTGGTGTAATAAAACCCTCGCGAAGCAGAAGAGAATGCTTCGAAAGCATACCATTCACTGTAAATTGCTTCCTTCTTCACTTCACACTCTTTCGACTTCCTTGTTTTTCCGGTGGACCTTTGTTCCAGACACACACCGTGAGTGGTGCACTTGTGCCACGAAGATGTTGATGCTATTGTCTTCTTTTTGGACATAATATATGATTACACCCAAAACTGAGCGTTCGCTTTGTCTATTTTAATGAGTGAAAGAACGTTGCATGTTTCCTTGTGGGCTTTCTTCCAACGTGACTGTCTTAGTGTACGGGCTGGTGGTCTGAAGAAAAAGAAAGAAGAAAGAACGATTATTTAGTTCTATCTGAGCACGCAGACATCGTGCCAACGACCTTCAAGTAAGTTTATTTTGTTTACTTTCCTTGGCATACTTAGATAGTCGCTGGCTTGAGGTTGAACGTTAAAAAAGCCACAAAGGTAATAAAACAAACAAAAAAAGTATAACCTTATGAACGCAGTTGACTTTACCAAGAAAACGAAAAATATCCAGTATCTGTACGCACTCTAGTCTTAAAACCATTTTCGAAAAGTAATTTAGCACGCTATAGCGAAGACCGCCCTACATATAACTATATTCTTTGACGGCTTGAAGAACTTGAGGACCGCAGGGTTTGGCGAGTTCAGAGCATCATGTTACTCAGCTCCACAACCAATCAAGTTGCGGTATTAATCAACAACAACCAATCACGAAGCACGAACGTAACGGGACACGCCCAGTGTTTCTGAAGCTGTCGGTGACGCATCTCTTGTTTGTTCAAGTCGTTGATGCTTGCTCTTCGGGCCCCACGAAGCTACGTAGTTCTCTTCGCTCAGACGATAAAGTAAATTCTCTTCGTAACCCTCCGTCCCTTCCACAACGCCTCAAAACGGTCCCTGCTGCGCCAGCCCCCCCGCAGCTCCGCGCCGCAGCTACGCTCCTTTCGTCCCTAAGGTGACAGTGCGGTGGAACCTACACGCTTGCCGGACCAATCAGCGCCTCCCTTTCCATCACCCGACCCCGCACTCTGCCCTGAATGTGACCGGGAGCACGATCACGTGACAAAAGATTGACGTAGGACAGGTATTTTGTGCAAAAAGATTCCGCCGCACACTCATCAGCTCGGGTGGGTTGGGGCGAACGCGGAGCAGAATGCAAGCGTCTGGGATCCGGCGGAGATTCGGCCAACTGCACGGCGCTCTTCCTGGGACGCGATTTGCTTTTCAAATGGAGAGCTGCTTTGCCCGGCGCGCAGAGGTGTGGCCCGCTTTGCACTCTAAAAAAAAAGGGTGTCCCCTTACACCCTTTTGTCCCATATAATACACCCCAAAACTTCATTTTGACGTACAGCGCCCTATAGTCGAACAGACGGCACAAAATTTTACCAGGGGCTTGATAACGGTGCGATATAACTTATTGAATTGCTAAAGTACGTGTCAAAGACCAAAGAAAGAAAACACAAAGCTTTTGCAGTACGGCCAAGAAAACTCCGATAATCTTTTTTGCAGTCAATAATACGTACATCAGCTATTTTAATAAGTTGTACCACACGGCTATCAAGCCCCTCGTAAACTTTGGGGACGTCTGTTCGATTATGGGGCGCTGTACGTCGAATTGAAGTTTTGGGGTGTATTATATGGGACAAAGGGTGTAATAATACACCTTTTTTTTCTGAGAGTGTGGGGCGTTCTAGGGCCGTGCGTTTAGGCGGCCGACAGCGCCGCGTGTCTCGCCGTGTGAACACGAGCGTTCTGTTACGTCGTCGCGAGGCGTGGAATTTCCGGGAATGAGGTTTCCAACGCTACCTGAACAAACGATTCCCGTTTATTTGTTTTTTCTCGAGAAGCACGATGTGCTCGACTGTGAGTTTTGTTTCTGCTGAAGGCGAACAAGTCACCTGGTGGTACAAACGCGTCCACATGGCAGAAAGTTACTGCAAACGGTTTATTATGTTGCTTGGCCAATGCTATTAAAAAAAAGCAAAACGTTCATAAAAAAAATCTTAATGAGTGCTGTATCAGTTCTCTCTATTTAACAAAGATGCGGCACCTCACGAATTTCTGCAATGTGCTCTCTTTTTCTACTGCTATGACCTCTTGGTTTTGTACGCATCTTTTGTTTATTAAATTTATTTAAGGGCCCTCAATATCAGGCACTTTATACTATTTAAGACTCATTACTTGTTTTCATCCTGACGTATACTCTAACACATAGTGGAAAAGCAAGCAGAAAATTCAACGCACTTTGTCAAAATAACTGGACTTCGTGATAAACATTTTTTTTTTCACAAGCGAGTTTTCAAAACGTTACTTTGTGTGTTCTTATGGTATGCTAGTTTATGCGTAGCTAATGGAGATTCATATTTATGGTAAATAACGAGCTTGAAAACCGAATTCGAGCTACGCGCTGGAAACCCCGACGTATTTGATAGTATCCTAAGCCATAAATGAATTGATCACTGGGATTTCAGTGTTACTGTAAAAAATATACTGGGTGTTTTTTGTTTTTTTTATTACAGAAATGTTTAAAAAAAGCCGTGAAAGCTACACTTATGCAGTTTGTGCGAATGAGTTATACGCCCAGGTGGACATTTTGTGAGTGCTTTATCTTTGCGGTAAGTCGGCTAATTAATTAAAATTCACTAACATTTTAAGTATTGAAAATAGACATATGGTTCTAATTAGAAACTTGCTGAGCGTCATCCAAAACCCCTAAATCAGTCATTTTGAGAAAAACTTTGAGCGCGTGAGAAGCGCAGTAGTGCGCTTAAGTTACCACTGGTGGAGCAGGTACAAGGCTGGGGCTAGATAGGAGACGGAAAAATTGCGCGGGCGCCTTACCGAAACCGCTAGCCATGTACCTGCTCCACGAGTAGTAACTTTAGTGCACTACTACGCTTCTCACGCGCTCAACGTCTCTCTGAAAATTACTGTATTGGCCGACGCTCAGCAAGTTTCTAATTGGAACCATATGTCTATTTTCTCTAATAAAAAGTTAATTAGTAAATTTTAATTAATTTAATTAAAAAATTAGCCTACTACATAATGTCCCCCTTGGCGTATAACTCACTCGCACAAACCGCATAAGTGTAGCTTTCATGGCTTTTTTTTTTAAACAAATCTGCAAGAATAATAATAAAAAACCTGTATATTATACGTCATTCAATGACTAACCCCAGTAAATAAATCCAGAGTTTAATATTTTATTAAGCTAAGTCAAGCTGAGGTGACGCAATATGAGTAATCTTTTATGTTTCATAATTAAATAGATAGCCCGTCTCACTAAAATCGTGGAGTACAGCCAAAGCTACAGGGGAGAGAGCGTATGCCAATCTGTTCAAAAGAAGGGAAAGGATGAGCGGGAGAGAAGGGTCGGTTTTCCCCTTCCCTCTTTTCCCTCCTCTTGAACAGGTCGGGATACACTCACTCCCCTGTAGCTTTGGCTGTACTGCACGGTTTTAGTGAGAGGGAGTATAGCCTGGTGCTGGTGGTTTTGTCTAAACGTGCCCGTCCTGAACAAATATCAAACTTGCAAAAGTTGAAGCCCTGACTGTTTTGTGACTTTCCATTACAATTCAGAGCGGAAGCCTCGTAGCACTTACTTTTATGACCAAGTTTCTTTACGTTTTTATCAGTTGAAAATATAATTTTATACTCTCGACAGCTCCACTTCATTCTTACAAAGTTCCATTTTTCCTTTACTGTTGTCGCAATCGGAAATTTGTGTCGTAACCTTTAATGATGGAATCATCAGCTTTATGTATCTTTGATGACACACCAGTACAGAGAAAGATACCTGGCACACTCCACAAGCTTCCACGAAGATGATGTCGTCACTGAAGCTCTAAAAGGGTTAGGTGCCTGAACTGATGGAGATCATTTACCCCGTCGCTCCCCCTCAAAATAAATAAAGCAGGAAGTGACCCTCAGTCATTGATGGCGTAAGAAGTAGAAACGCAAAGAACGTTGCCAGCAGACGACACAGGAACCTGCAGGCGGAAATGAAGCGGTCAGCAGACATCCACCCAATCGCCACCGCTCCACTACCGCCGTCCACTGACCATGAAAGCCCATCGCTGACGCTGCTACCCACAAGAGACAACCACTTCGTCCAAACATACAAACAGCAGGGAACGCGCCGAGATAAGACCACTTCCGGCCCGGAATGTCTCTTCCACTCCATTCGTTGCTCGCCAGGACCGGAGACGGCGACCGTTCCAGAAGGCAGAGAGATAACCACACAGCGGAGGGTACGACCAAAAATCGGTTTTCCCACAAAAGGTCTGCGGGTCCATCGACAACGGCCGGCAAGGTGCATATAACTGGCTTCGCTCGTAAGGCAACAGTGCAGCGCCAGTCACCTACCGCTTTGGCCAATCAATCGTCAGCCTCCGGGCACGTGGTCACACACCGCGTTTACGCGTACGTTGAGAAAACCGTCACGTGTATGAGTTTGAACTTCGATTGGTTCACCCAGCACTTGGCGTCCACTGAAATATCAGCTGTTGGGCGAATGAAGAATAGTTCCAGGCGGCGCTTGCGTAGAACTACTTTGATTTTCCTAGAAGTTTCCTCGTGTGGTAACAGTCCAGCGCCGGAAACGTACCGGTTGGACCAGTCAATCGCCAGCCTTTGGCCACGTGATCACACATTACGTTTGCGCGTGCGGGAAAGAGGCCATCGCGTGTATGATGCTTGGTAATCGATTGGTTCACCAAGCTTGTCGCCTCCACTGGACTGTCCGCTTTTAGGCGGAGGATAGCTCTACGCAGGGCTTGCTAAGGCACTGCTGCGATTCTGCAGAAAGTTTGCCTGGGGTGTACAAGTCGTATACTACCCGCGGAGGTATACAAGCGCAGAGCTGACCACAAGTCGACTAGAGATAGCGGCATGACTGGACACGACGCGTATAAGCGGCGGCGCAGCCTTTGCCGCGCGGGGTTACACTCACAACGAGCTCTGCTCTTTGTCGCGTCGACTCGAACGCGTGAACCTTCGCGGAGAAATGTCTCGGGGCAGTGGGAGCGCAAGGACCCATTCTGGAGCGCTCAATAAAACGCGACTGTTTTGGGAGCCTGGCCTCGGAAGCTCAGCGGAACTAGAGATAACGCCGCTGCGCTATCCGCGCGCAAGGGCAGGCCGCCTGCTTTCTGTTTAGGAGTGCGACCCACTATTTCCCAGTGACT